GTCTTTGCCTTTTCCACTTGTTCAGTCAGACCGAGTTGTCCGATAATACTGTCGTCTTCAGCGTTCATCGCTGCCGCCAGTTCCTGAAATCAATCGTAGCTTTTCTCTGAAAAAAAACGCAATGCAAAAGCGTGGACAAAATGAATCTGTAGAAAAGACGGTGGAGCTATCTTCCGGTCCTTTTGCGAGACGATTTTTTTTGCATTCTTGCGCGAAGCGCTCATTACACTTGCCCTTGCATACAATATACCTTATTGGAAGTTCCGCCCCAGAGAGCCACGCCCCCGTTCTTGCCGCGATCATGAATTGCACCCACAATACACACAATTTAGTCCATACGTTCCATTCGCTAAATCTGCTGATAGTAAATGGAAGAACAGCGAAGAGGAAGGCGAAAAAAATGTCCAAAACATCTTTAGTGAAGCCCTTTTCGAGTTTGTACGAGTTCACTTACAGTTGGACGAGTGCTCTTGAACTTCTGCCCCCGATATAACCGTCGCCTCGAGTTATCTCAGCTGATTTTTCCACAAGGGACACAACATGGAATACCTTGACGTTCTTAAGTTTGCTCGCAGTGGCAGTCGTTCTCGGGGGAAAGAATGGGTGGAGTTGCGTTAAGTGAGGTAGAGCCTCGTAAAGTCGTAGGCTCCTCGCGTTCCTAGGCGTTGTTCGGCATTGAAGGGGCATTAAACTTCTGCAAGTTTCCTTTGTTTGTTCCTTTTAAAAGACAGGCCTTTCCTTTGTGGCACTTTTAGAATCTTGTCAAGTGTAAATGAAGCTCCTGGTATTGCATAGCTTTGCAGGAATTTACAGTTCTATACAAAAGGCATCGGCAATGATCAATGGGAATCAGCATGCCCCCTCCAAACCCACTTGCGCCCGTCTTTAAGAGGTGAATGCGAGCGGCGAAAAAGGTGCAGCTTATGCGGCTGGGACCTACGCACCTTATGCGCGCGATATGAGGATTTCACCTTTCAGGTAACAAATTGTCAACATTGGCAAGCCTATCTATACGGCACAGATCGCGGGCGTCGCCGCGGGACATGTTTATCGACAGTGGGAGGGGGGGACATTTGCATTATGATTGATCTCTTATTTTCTCGTCACAAAAATCCCCTTTCCCCCAAAGACTTCTTGGGGGTTTAAAAAATTGGAAACGCTTGTGAAAATTCGGAGCAAGATCGTCTAGCCACCATCCTGAAACCTCGAAAAAAGGGTACCTAGATGGGTTGGCAAATCTATGAAAAGCAGAATGCCCCCCCCCGTCGATAAACAGCGCCCAGATCGCGCAACACTGCGCACCTCTGGAGTGCAATCGATATGTTTCTATAAAATGAAAGGATCTTACCTCAGGCGTTTTTCTTGGAGCACCGATACGTCCTTCGGTGAAATCCATTGCGGCACCTGCACCCTCTTCCTTCTTATGAATCTTGTACTTGTCACGGATGCCTTGACGCATTTTCTCCCTTTCGGCTTCCATCTTCCTGTGCCTCTCTTTACGGCGTTCCTGCTCTTCGAGCCGTGCCGCTACGACCTAAACGAGGCAGGACTCAAATGAAAAAAAACATACTTCTATAATACCTTCATTACTTCTATGGTACACAAAATTATGACTTAAAGGCAATTTTCACCCCGTCCAAAGAAACCAATACCCTAGACACATTATCCACCCAATGCTTGAGGATTCAAAGGAATAGGAGGGTTCCCCGAGGTACTCGCTCTGTCTGGAAATCTCCCCGTTCCAGCGATTCTTCGTCAAGCACCACATATTATTCAATCCAAGGAATGCTACACACTCCTTATGGGCCCATAAATAAGCCGA